CCAACTTGTGCCCAGTCGATCCTAACCTTCCTACCACTAGTCGTGCTACCTTCGGTTCCGCCACGGCAGAACACAGAGGATTGAAGGACAAACTGGGTAGACCCATAGTATACCTTGGGAAAGCACAGATCTGCAACAACTTCAATTCAGGAAGTTGTGGGTTTAGCTCATGCAGACTGCTGCACGTCTGCTCAATTTGCTTCAGGGCACATGCAAAAACTATGTGCCCCAATCGTCTGTACCCAAAACAATGACTAACCGAAGTTAGCATCGACAACCTGGCATTTTACCTCCAGGCACACCCTTCCCTTCACTTAGTCAACTTCCTCATTCAAGGCTTCACTGAGGGTTTCCACACGGGTCTAGTCACACTTCCCACAGGTATTCTCGAATGTCCCAACTTACAGTCAGCTATCCTTGACCCAATCTCCACACAGTCACTGCTCAAGACCGAACTTACTAACGGGTTTATCTTGGGCCCCTTCGCTCACCCTCCGTTCACCAGCTGGCGTACCAACCCTATAGGTATCACCACTGGGAAGTTCAATAATAAAAAAAGACTTATTTACGACTTGTCCGCTCCTCATTCTTTAGCCACCCCCAGCATCAATTCATTGATACCTTCAGAAGAGTTTTCCCTGCAATATACCTCTGTAGACAATGCCATTCAATCCATTCTTAGGGCAGGTGCGGGAGCCTGGTTGGGGAAAACCGATATTTCCAACGCTTTTAAGCTCTTACCAATCCACCCATCCCTGTGGCATGTGCACGGCATCAAATGGGAAAACAATTACTACTTTGCCACCCGCCTTACCTTCGGAGCTAAAAGTAGCCCAAAATTATTCGACATATTTGCTGACACACTATGCTGGCTACTCCTCAATATCACTCACTGTCCCGCAGTTCTGCACTACCTGGATGACTTCCTTACGATAGAATCACCTCAATCCTCACCAGTTAGTCTCCAGAAGACCTTGGCCCTATTTTCAACGTTGGGGGTTCCACTGTCTCCATCAAAGACAATAGGCCCTACCACAAAACTTACGTTCTTGGGTATTCACCTAGACACCGTCACTTTACAGGCTAGTCTACCACGGGAGAAGGTGCAACATATCATTGAAATGGTAGAATATTTTCTGGTGAAGGACACGTGTACCAGGTCAGACCTACAATCCTTATTGGGCACGCTGAACTTCGCCATGAAAATTATTCCTCAAGGCCGGGCGTTCATCTCGAGATTGTTGTGCCTTCTCCCGTTACTCAATACTGACTCCAGCACGTTATCACTAGATGCTCACGCCAAGGCAGATCTACTCATGTGGTTACGGTTCCTAACTCATTGGAATGGAAAAGCCATGTTTATCACTCCTTTATCAGATTCCTCACCTGTCATCTGGACCGATGCAGCAGCTCACACTGGGTTTGCAGCTATCTATCGCAATGACTGGTTCAGAGATTCATGGCCAGTAGAAACCCTAGGTTTGCCCTCATTTCCCACTACATCTGCCCTATTCGAGATCTACCCGATTGTTGCAGCCGCCAGAGTATGGGGACACTTATGGCGGGGGAAAGCAGTAAAATGCTTTTCCGACAACAAACCAGCCTGTGACATAATCAACAAGGGTAGATCCTCCTCACTCACCATCATGAAATTGATCCGAAGGCTAACTTGGTTAGCGGCAACACTACAGTTTCACATCACATGCGTCCACATTCCAGGAAACACCAACACAGCCGCTGATGCATTGTCTCGATTTAACTTACAGGTCTTCTTCAGGACACACCCCACAGCCAACTCCAGACCGGTCAGCACCCCTCCATTCCAAGACCTCATCCTGGACTAGAAAGACTGCTATCTCACAGCAGATATATAGCCGGAGCAGCCCTATCCACAAACACATCTCGTGCATACAATCGAGCTTTTACCATATACACCAAATTCACGACACAACATCAGATAACTGACACTCATTCTCTAGATTCCATTATTGCATTTATTTATTTCTGCCACCTTAACCTAAAATTATCATTGAACACCATTAAACTATATCTCTCAGGTATACAACATCATATCATCAGTGCCTACCCTAGTTCTAAACCCTTCATGTCTTCCTACCCCGTGAAAAACATATTAAAAGGCATACTGAGATTAGACTCACCCACTACCTCTGCCAGACTTCCCATAGACGGTCCCAAGTTCCGAGCACTCTCCAATATCTTGGACTCCAAACCTTTTGAAACCCATACCAACCTAGTTATTAAGACAGCGACTTACCTAGCTTTCTATGGGTTTTTACGACCAAACGAGTTCACCACCAATAGTGGTTCGTGTCAAAATCAACCCCTCAAAATTACAAATCTCCAGAAACACACAGATCACTACATACTCACCCTAGGTCACACTAAAACCAATCAAATAGGCCCACCTACCAAGATCTGCTACTATCCCACCGGCAATCAGTGGTGCCCCGTTGTAGTATTTGACACTTTCTTGGCTACTCTCTCAGGTCTCAGTCAAAACGCCCCACTACTATCATTACAAGGTTTCCCCTTAACAACTGCCAAGTTCATTCAGTACGTCAGAACCTTGTTCATCCGACTCGGCCTCAACCCTACAGGGTTTTCTGGTCACTCGTTCAGAATTGGAGCTGCTTCAGCAGCCTCAAGTCACAATGTACCCTCTCACATAATTAAAAGATTAGGCCGATGGAAGTCTGCGGTCTACGCCACTTACATTCCACAACCAGAAATAGAACTAAGGTCTGCATTCAAAGGTCTTGCTATGTAATCATGCATAATAAAGTGAATTGTTTACTCCAACCTTTTTGCCCTCTTTTATTACAGGCCTACCCCATACGTCGGTTTCGGCACACCACAACCGACTTCCATATTCTGGTATAATCATTACACTTCACGGCTTATGTCCCCGACTACAAATAGTAAGGCGTAGCCTGGAATTGTGGGAGGGGTTACCCGGCTATAAAAGCTCAGGCCCCAGCCAAATCTACACTGGAATCGCTGGGTTCATCCCTCCCACCACAACCCTCTATAACCTTTCTTGGGTGGGCCCTCTTTTATTACAGGCCTACCCCATACGTCGGTTTCGGCACACCACAACCGACTTCCATATTCTGGTATAATCATTACACTTCACGGCTTATGTCCCCGACTACAAATATATATATATATATATACGCATTCCTTTGCTTGAATGAATAGAGTTACAGAGAAGTTAAAAAAAAAAGTGTCTGTCTTTTTGTATTCTGTTTCAAAATGGATTGCCATGTCTACTAACTGGTGACTTACAGTATAAATTTTCAATTTCTTTCTTAACACAAAATGTCTGCCAGTGGAGATACCTGGACATGAGTGTTTGGGAAGAAAATTTGAGCTGTAGTGTTTTGTGGGGAGAACTGGGCCTGTAGTGTATGTGTGTGGGGAGATAACAGCTGTAGTATATATAGTGTGTGGAGGATAGGGTCTCTCATTTGTGTTTGTGGGAGATAGGGACTGTTGTGTGTGTTGACAAGAGAGGTGCAAGACGTATGCAGACATTTTTTGTAAACTTGCTTGCATTTTTTTTTTTAATTCTTTATTTTTAAAATGTTTATGTGACAGGATCAGTGGCATAGAAATTGCAGTTCAGCTTTCGCAGAAGCCCATGTACAACTGTGTATACACAATCACATTCAAACCCTGAGGCATAGCATGTATGAGTAACTGCTCTGTGTCTTAATTGCACCATCCGTCACGGTTGTTACCGTGTCGAGGCACGGTTTCCTTATGTGCCCTGTTGTGTGTGCCCTCTTAGCACTTTTTCACACCGCTAGTAAGGTTTGACGCCATCGAGTGCATGTCTGTCAGGTTGTTATATTTGTTGCCTGTCTACCATCCCGCTGCACTCCCCTGGCCTGCCTTTGTCTGGTGCATGTATTGTGCTTTTGGCACTCTCGTCTAGGTTTGTTCCCCATAGAGGGGTTTGGAGAAAAAGAGAGAAGAAAGAAAAGGTAACTTGCTTGCATTTTATCAGTGACTTCTTAATCATTCCTAATGTATAAGTGAGGGTAAATACATGAAAAGTACATGAAAATAAAAACTTTTATATTCAGTTCTGGTATTGAAGTGGCTATTATTTTAAAATAATTGTTTATATTGGTAGTGCATTGAAAAACAAGCTTATAATGACATATTAACAGTAGGCATTTTGACAAATAAATCTGCATATGCATAACCAGACATCTAAAGAGGTTTTCACTGTTTTGTCTTTTTTTGTGAGACAACATCAAAAGTGAAGTAGTTATGTGTAAATACTATCCCCAGTAGGAGCGTAATAACAAAGGGCATAAGAAAGACATAGAAATCACAGGCTATGAAACATTAGTACAAACTGAAACTGAGATATATTTCGACATGTAATAGAAATGAGAAACAGTTATATCTCGGTGAGGTTGGGATAGTAGGGTGATCACCACTTCATCATGCCCCTGCTGAGGCTTGACTATCATCCCTGACAGAATAGGAATTCAGCAGGGATGATGGGGGTAATTCTCATTCTTCGGCTACTATTTGGACTCAAAGGCATCATAACCAGTCTGGCAAATTTCAATATGTATAAACTAAAAAATTTAACGTGCAATATTTGACCCTGTAAATTTCCAAATCAACATAAAACCTATACAGGTAGTTCTCAACTTTCCAAACTAATTGGTTCCGAAGACTCATTCATAAAGTGAGAGTTCATAAAGTGAGAACCAATTTCCCATAGACACAATGTAATAAACATGGGTTCCGTTACTGATCAACAAATGTTACCATTTAAAACCTTAATTATGAAGTACAAATACAAAATAAAAGCATAGCAAATACATATGTTGTAGGAACGTTAAAGGAATACATTCTGGGGGCGTGGCCGGACCGTGCATGGAGACAGACGTGTAGAACTCGAACTCCTCGCCCTGGGCCACAAAAAAATTGATAAACTGCCATTTCACACAACGAACATGGTCCGAAATAAGAGACCCCGGCTCCTGGGCACATCGCAGCAGCACTCACCGCGCAGACCCACGGGCACCATGGATGACTTTGTGTCTACTCCGGCGGAGCTGTGGGGCGCCAGACTTGTGGACAAGATGGTCCCGACCTCCCCCAGCGCGGGAGAGTCAGTAGAGGGAAGCGAGGGAGACGACGCGCTCACCTTAATCAGGCAGGAGCTGTCAAGAATTTCAGCCCAAATGCTAACGAAGGCGGACACCAGCAACCTACTGCAAGAATTCGGGACTGCGGTGCGGGAAGAAATTTCAACCCTGCGCACAGACCTGCCGGCAGTGGAGGTGAGGGTGGACGCGCTGGAGACTGAAGCGCAGGCGTGCCGCAATCAGTGGCCACCCGCCAGGGTAACCTCCTGCTCGCCTAATGCCGCCAGGTTGAAGACTTGGAAAATCGCAGCCGCCGCCATAATATAAGGATCCAAGGCCTACCGGAACCGGACACCGCACCATTGCAAGAGACAGTAAGGGCTCTCTTCAGACCAATCCTGGGTGAGAGCAGCCACCACGGACATCCAATTTGACAGGGTCCACCGAGCCCTGGGACCCCAGAGACAGAATGGGAAGCCGAGACATGTTCTCTGTTGCCTCCATGCCTACAGCCTCAAAGAAAAGCTGATGGCCGCCATCAGGGTGTGGAGGTAACATTATTCCAGGACCTGTCCAGCCTCACCTTGGATGCAAGAAGAGCACTTAGACCTGTAACAGCAGTGCTTAGAGAAAGGAACATTGCTTACCAATGGGGTTTTCCTTTTAGCCTACAGGTGAGACATGGTGGCTCGTGGCTGCAGATCCGGTGGCCAGATAACGTGACACCGATGCTGAGGACCCTCCGCATTCCCCCATGTGCATTCGGAACTGGCTCTTAGAGACCCCGCTGGCACCAAGAGGAAGACCCGCTGATCGAGACACCAAACCGGCATCCCCTCAGGCGAGGGAGCCCCCCGTGCAGATGTGGGGAGGCCCTGCTGAGGCAGAAGAATAGAACGCCCAAGGGCAGAGAGAATGGACACGGCACAAGATACTGGGGGTTCCGCCTGGGCTGCGGGAGCACGCTGGCCATAGTTGGGTCTAGTTTTGAGGTTGGGTGGGTGGCAGTGCATGGACTGGGGCCCCCCATCTCCCCGGACCGAGAGACGGAAGTTATATTGCCTTGGGACATGGCAATAAGGAGCAGATTTGGCCCTCCCCCGCTTGTCTTGGCCCTCTCCCCTTCCTCCCTTGGCCTGCTCTCATCCACCCCCTCCCCCGGGCCCTTCTCGCCCCCCTACCCGTGGTAGAGGTAGTGATAGGAGACCTCCCGGGGGTTTTGGGCGGATGGAGGGGGCTGGGACTCAAAGGAGACCCCTAGGCACTGGGGGCATTTGGGCCAGGCTGCCACTTGGGACTGGGCCATGGGGGCCCCGGGGGGACTTGTGGGGGTCTTCGGGCAGGGGGGTGTGGGCTGCGGATGGGGGTTGGGGGGGCTGGTGTATGCGGTGGTTGGGGGGTACCGGTGGGGATCCCGGGGAACCTCAACGTCTGCAGGTTTGTTGGCTGGTGTGCGCTCGGGCGGGGAGAGGGGCCCCCGGTCGCCTAGCCCGGTGGCCAGGGAGCTGGCAGTAGTAGCCATGTATATAGTTAACATTGAACCTAGTTGGTACACAGACACAGCATGCACCAAAACCTGGTGGCCCTGGGCGGGCTCTAGGTGACACAGAGACACGAAAATTTGTACCTGGTACACACGAGCGAAATTGTCCAGTTTCCTGCGCGGATACGGCGCACAACCCCTAGGACAGACTGCGGGAGGCAGTGAGAAGGGTCACAACAGGTAGAGTTACGTATCGGGCGGGGGACTCGCCCCTGGCTGGTACCCTCCCCAGACAGTCCCTACACACATCTACACCAGACACGAATGGATTACCGACCCCCAACCCAGATCACAGATGACCTTTTTACCTGACCGACTTTATGGACGCATTTATGCGCTTCCCATCTCGTCAGGGGTGCCACTTCTGGGGTGTTGTTGGTTTCGAAGTAGTGTATCAGCACCTCTGCTGCTTCCGTGAGAGCCAGCGTTTCCCCCAGTATTTGCTCATTGAGCCTCCATCGCCTACTGCTTGGTTTAAAGCATCCGTGGCCATTTTATTAAGACCTGCACCAAACGCAAAAAGGAACTCCATGGTCACCTCGTGGATCTGTACACACGGACGGCCTAACTCGAGCTCAATCATTGAACCACCCGGTCGGAGGACACCTACTGGATGCTTCTAGAAGCACGACGAGAATTGAAGCGAATACTGTCCCAACAATTGACACACACACTCCGCAAATCGCATAGACATCTCTATGAACATTTAAACAAAAATGGCAAAAAAACTTAGAATGGCTCAGATAACAACGGTGCAGACAGCAGGATCGGCACCCACGAGAAGACAGGACAAAATCGTAGCGGAATTCCACGATTTCTATACTAAACTGTATAACCTGCCAACAAATAAAGAACCTAAGGCAGCTCAGGAGAGGCTGGTCAGAACACGGGAGTACCTGGAAAACCATGTCCACCGGAAATTGACACAGGCCCAAGTCGAGGACCTGGAGGTACCCATAACAATAGAGGAGCTAACGGGAGCCCTCAAGGCCACCAAGATGAATAGGGCACCGGGACCAGATGGACTCCCCGCCCGCTACCTTAAGTGCTTTGGGGAGATACTCCTGCCGGAGCTCCTAGAGGGACTGAACTCCATACTGGAAGGCGGGAGGTTCCCCGATGACACCCTCCTAGCTACCATGGCGGTAATCCCAAAGGAGGGGAACGATCCCGCCGCGTGCTCCAGCTACAGACCCATCTCCCTACTTAATGTGGACTTTAAACTATTCACCAAGATTCTGGCCCTCCGCGTGGCCCGGGTTGCCACTGACTTAGTCTACCCGGATCAGACGGGGTTCATCCCTGGTCGCGAAGCCAAAGATAATACGGTGCGGGTGCTTAACATCATCCATGCCACCCTTAAATCCTCCCGGAGAGGCCTGCTCCTTTCAACAGATGCTGAGAAGGCCTTTGACCGGGTGGACTGGCAGTTTATGAGGGAGACCCTGAGAGCGATGGGCTTTGGCCCCCACTTCCTTACGTGGATTGCAGCAATATATGCGACCCGAAGGCATGACTGCAGATCAACGGCGCCCTCTCCTCCCCTCTCACGATCAAGAACGGGACTAGACCGGGCAGCTCCCTGTCCCCCCTTCTGTTTGCCCTCACGTTAGAACCTTTTCTGGCGGCGGTCAGACGGGATGGGGGTATAATGGGAGTTACAGTAGAAGGCACGACCAAGTGACCTGGGCAGATTATACCAAGATAACTATTTACCCCTACTGGGAACACTCCGCGCACATATGCAGAGATGGGGAGCTTCGTGTGTCTCCTGGTTTGGCAGAATCAATGCCATTAAAATGAATCTCCTCCCACGGCTCCTGTATCTTTTCCAGACGAGACAAACATACCCCTGGCCTATTTTAAAACCTTAAACACGATCATTCGTCTGGATTTCGGGTACAGCCAGACTCAAACACACGCAGCTTATCCTTCCAAAACGCAGCTGGATCATGGACTGGCACGTGCCGACAACTGACAAACACTGGATCCACCTCGAGCGCACACAGGCCCAAGGACGGATCCCGTTGATCACGTGGCTTCTAAACCCCCTACAGACCTGAGCCATTCGTAAACACCCACTAATAGGGGCAACACTACGAATATGGTACTCATTATGGTATAAACTCGAGCTCTCGACCCCATTGACGCCTGTGATCTACAACCCGGAGATAGCGGGAGACCTGGCGCCGCGAGACGTAACAGGATTGGGACATACGAACGGGCTGTGTCTGGGGGACTGGTGCTCAGCCGGACAACTGAAAACCCTCAAGGGCCTACTGACACAGGATCGGGCGACCGAGATGATATGTTTCCGGTACCACCAAATATGACAGTCTTACCTTACAATAACAGGAAAACACATCATACACAGGACCTTAACCCAATTCGAAGCATTATGCTCTACGCCATGATACTCGCAGCCACAAAGACCCGCCAGCACCTTACCAGGCGAAATGGGAGCACGCCACGGGGCTCGTATTATCGGAGGCTGAATGGGAGAAGATCCACATCCTGACGCATCAAGGGACGATCAGCGCCAAGATCCAGGTGCTTAATTATAAACTCATGACTTGCTGGTACAGGACGCAGGCGCGACTGTTCCACATGGGCCTCTCCCAGACAGCTAGTTGCCGGAGGTGTGGCACGGCGGAGGGTACGGACCCGCCATTGTCTGCTTTTGGCAACAAATCCATGAGAAACTCAAAGAGATCCTGGACTCAGATATTCCACTACAACCCCTCCCAATGCTACTCCACCACACCACGAAGCCCATTGGGAGATCCCTCACGAAACACTTTCTGAACGAGGCAAAGAGCCTGAAACCAGCCAAGTGGAAGTCACAATCTACCCCCACAGTCGTGGAATGGATAAAGAAAGTAGAGGAAATATATAACATGGAGAACCTGACAGCAGACCTGCAAGACACAGCAGTTAACTGCACTAGACTGTGGGCCCCCTGGATAGACTATATGGCCCGTAGGCCCAGCAGAAGGGAGACTCCGGAGACTGAGTAGCCGCGGCCTGTTCATAGACGTGCATGGCGTGAAGCGGGCCGGAGGACCGGTAATGGACCCCCTGCCCGGGAGCTCAGCGACTGCCACTGGAGGTGTCCCTAAAGAGCAATGTAAAGAGAAAAGGCAGTGTGTACATGAAAATGCCTGCAGGGACTGATACAACTACATTAGTTGTTCTGGTGACTATATTGTCCCTTTAAACTGTTATCTAAATAGTGAACATCGACACTTAAATTGATTCAACAAGTTGTCATTATTCTCCATGTCTTAACGATTTAATGAGCCAATTGAACCAAATAAAGTAGAATTGCACTAATTAAATGTTTTTTTTACAGAACTAGCTCACTCTTTAAAAATAAACTTGTGTGCTAATATAAGATTGGTTGCTGCATCTAAGTGCTGCTTCAAAGTGTGTGCTTGGAGATATTCTGGAGAGTTTTACTGATTCTTCAACTAAGGTTTTTTCTAAGTCTTTTCATTTTACTGTTACAGGTAAGTCATCTATAGGAAAAGGTTTTTTGATTGCTCAAGGTTTGGTTTCCTGTTGGTAATTGGTAAGGCATCTGATTTGATTAGTTAGGTTTTCTAATTGCTCAGGGCCGTGTTTAATATTACTACGCCCTGGGCTAACCATTTTTTTGGGCCCCCTGGGCACCCCTCACTCCCTAGCATGCAATCGCACCTTTCACATACATACTTACACAGACATATACACGGAAAGACATACTGACACATACACACAGACAGACATACTGACACACACACAC